AATTTTGTATACCCTCTGTGTTCTTATAGATTAGAATTAAAGTGCTTCTTCTCTGTTCATCTAGAATTTTATTTGACCTCATAATTTATTAAAGAGTTTGGTGAGCCACTCAATACCTCTCTCTCCAAGAATTTTTCATACTTCAATTATATTGTTTGGCTCAACTGCCTTAATGTTAGTCATCCTTTTCAACGCTTCCCTTACCTCTTGCTTTGAATCTGACGGTAGTAATTATAGTTTCGGCCCTCTTCTCTAATATCGAGTCAGCTAGAGTCTTGTGAGATATCACATCATTTATCAAATAAATTATAGAAATACTTCTTCCACTTATCCTTTATACATTCTTCATCTTTGACACACTTCACTTGATCCAAATCTCTTGCATTTCTTTCTATTTCTTTAGCAAACTTATATATAAATTTTTCTCTCTCATTAGTTTCTAAATATTGGTATAATCCATCAAAATTTTAGGTTCTTATGTCACTCACCATCTTATTGGTCTCATTCTTGATTTTCTTATGTTTTTCCCAGGTTTCAGTATTTTTACACCTAGACCATTCTTTAAAACAATCTTTTTTACTCTAACTTACTCGATACACTTTCATTCCACCATCACGATTCTTTATCCCTAGGTCCAAAACCTCTTGATTCTCGCAGCGTATCTTTAACCACTTTTCTAATCTCTTGCGCCATCATATTTCATATATCATTTTCACTTACTTGTGGTTGTCCAGACCCTCACGCTAAGATCTTGCATTGAAAACTTTTTTGTTTTTCTTCCTTCAAATGTCACCACTTGATCTGTGGCACTCCCATGTGACTTCTTCTTTTTTCTCTCCCCTTTACTCTTATATTCATAACCAATACTCTATGTTGGGTAGTCAAACTCTCTCATAGTATAACTTTACATTTCAAGTAAATCTTTCTATCTGACTTCCTAATAAGAAAGAAATTCATCTGAGAACATGTCACCCAACTTTTACATGTGATAAGATGCTCATCTTTTTTCCTAAACCAGATATTTGCTATAGTAAGATCCAAAGCCGGCGAAATTTTAAGATGGACTTATCCTCTACATTCACCTCCCCTTGACCATATTCTTGTGCATGCTCTCAAAACCTCTTGTTACGCTCCCTACATGACCATTTAGATCTCCTCCTATAGAAAAAGCTTATCTCCTTATGATCTTGTACCTTAAGGTGTTCTGTTAACCCAATATGCGGTGCATAAACACTAATAACATTAAAGATATCTTGTTTTACTATAAATCTTAAGGTTATGATTTGACCTCTTACTCTTTTCACATTACAATATCCTTCTTCCACTACTTGTCCACAATAATCCTCATCCCATTTATCAATCTAATTTTTACGGTGTACCAAAACTTATAAAAAATAACGATGTCATGTGAAAACAATATATTGACCAATGGTCTAAACTCATTAACGACACCAGCCAACCGAAGTATATTTAAGATTGTAGTATGTGAAAGTGTATGTTACATGTTTGGAGTGTAGAATCTGAAATGTACCATTAATATAATATGACATAGTAGTTTCATTAGATTCTAATTTGAATTATAGAATTCAAACACTTTAAAAATATGTTATAGATCTTAAAATTCGAATAATATATTTAAACTTTTAAGGGTTAAATATGTTTTTGGTCCTCCTAAATGTTTCATATTTAACTTTTAGTCTCTTTAAAGAATGGTCTTCATAAAAATTTTAATTTTAATTTTTGATCCCTCCTGCAATTTAGCGATGATTTTTACAACTTTACGACATAATTAACGATCATTTTTTATTTAGCAATCAAATTAACGACGATTTTAACGTGAAGGACCAAAAGTTAAAATTAAAACTTTTAAGAAAAATATTATTTAAAAAAAAATTAGAGAAACTAAGATATTTAAGTGTAATAACAACATATTTAACCCAACTTTTAAAAAGGTTATGATAAGATGAGGATGGAAAACTTCACCTTTACAATTACACATTAATTAATTGGGTGATTAAGGACTATCCCTAACAATTGTAATTATTAACCAGTGATGTTTTCAATCATACCTTTGTTATTTACTTTTTCTTACGTTTACTATACTTGGCAATAGTTATATAATGAGAGCAACAAAAAAAAGTGATTTGCATTCAAGCTTTAAAAAGGAACTACAAATGGGCCAGCATTATGTGACACATGAAATAGTAATAGCATGCATCACCCACATCCAAATGGGAAAAAAAGGATGTGATGGAAAAAAATGGATGTGAGGTCAAGAAGGTTTGGTAATAATAATAGCTTACGTTATTCTTGTTGAAAAAACAAGGCCAACCTGTTGGGACCATGCAAAGTTTTTGTGCATGTGGAGAGTCAGAACATATTCTTACTTTGGTTAGGCATACATATTGCTTGAGTGATGTGAGGGCAAAATAAGCTATATGTCATTTAATTCAACACCTGGCATGAACTTAAAATATACACAAGTTCCACTAATTTAGAAATGGATATTATGAGAAGAATTGATGGGATCTTTGAAAGAAATAATTCAAAGAGAGTTGGAATATGTAACAAACACTTCACTGCAAAACACATGCATGAACATTTTTTTTTACCTGCCCTTGTCGTGTAGAGTTTTTCGTACTATATCTTTCCAAAAGTTACGCCAATATAATGCCACAAAAACTTAGCCAATAGAAAAAGGAAAAGCATATTATGAAAATTCTTAACTTTTGGCATCCTTATTATCCTTCCTTAGAGAAAAGATAACTTTTGAGTCTTCCCAAAAATCCAACATTCCTTGCTTGGTTCATTTACCTTAATATAAAGTATCTATATATCTACCATATATATACATAATACAATTCATCTCTTACTCCAAATCTTTCAGAAATTTCATTTATCTCTCCACCTTGAAAAATCATCATGGGTGTCTTAGGAACAATACTGAGACATTTGGATACAACAATAGGGTAAATTATTAAATCTATCTCTTAAAAGTTATTATATCGTGTCTCTTTTTCTGTTATTTTTGTATAACCTTTATTATATAGTTTAAACTAAAAATTATAATAACGTCTAACTTTTGTTTTGTACTAGGCCTGGAGTAATGCTTCTTTATCCTTTGTAAGTAATGGTCATATCATTATCATAAAGTATATCATTTTATTATAATTTATAATAACTTATATGTAATGACTAATTGTATGTGCAAATACAAATTTCATAGATATGCATCAATGAGAGCAATTGAAAGTCCATCAACCTTAGATGATCAACAATGGCTAACATATTGGGTTTTATACTCTTTCATAACCCTCTTTGAGCTTTCAACTTACAAGGTCCTATATTGGTTTCCTATTTGGCCATACATGAAGCTTGTGTTCTGCTTGTGGTTGGTGTTGCCAATGTTCAATGGAGCAGCTTACATATACGAGAATTATGTGAGGAAATATGTCAAGAAACTCGGTAACTATGGAGGTTCGAATTATCCTGAGGAGTATAAGAAGGTTCTTCATATGATGACGTTCGATGCAAGAAAAGCAGTTGAACGTTATATTGATAGATTTGGTCCAGATGCATTTGAGAGAGTGATTAGAGCAGTATGATATAAAGAACTATTTCTTTACATTGTAATAGTTACTCTTTTGCTATTATTTTTTAACAATAATCTGTCATCACTTTATATTGCAGGCTGAGAAAGAAGCAAAGAAGCATTGAGTGAGTGTAAATTTAACCAAGATGGCATGAGAAGAATATAAACATGTTATGATTAATCAATACTTCTTTCTTTCTGTATATTCTAGCATGTAGAAAACTGATGAGTTCAGAATTATTATATAGTTAAACTGATGAGGTTCTAATTATCATGAGTACAAGAAGGTTCTTCAATACTCCTATACCATATGTTTACTTTTCATACAAAGAATCTTTTGGTTATTAACTCTTATATCTCTTCAAGTTTTACTATATGAAAAGGTGTGGACCTTAATATTAGATGATAAGAAGAGTGTATATTATCAACAAAAAAATATGATAAGAGTGTATACACATGTGATAATAAACATAAACTAAAAACCAATGAAAACATTCTACAAATTAACAATGAAAGTAAACATAGTGAAGTTTGTTCTCATTACAGCGTATAATAAATAAAAATTAGAGTTTTATAACAATGTGACTATTTTTTAAAACAAAGCATGCTATAAAAGAAGAAAATCACCAATACTTTTTTTATAATTCAGGTTAATGGGGAGGTATCAGGTTAATGGGGAGGTATCAGAATATGAATAAAAACAAGGGGATAACTTCTCTACCCATCTTTAAAAATTAGATAGTGTACATTCAACCAATCAACTAATGACAATATCATTTTATTATCTTTAATTATTTATTTAATAGTTTAAATTTTAGAGATTTCCAATGCCCTTTACTCTATGGGTAACTCTACCCAATTTTTTGAGATTGGTAAATAAGAACTCACCTAAAAACAATGGCATTTTATGTGGTGGCTTTAGTGGGGTATCCAACAGTTTATTAATTAATTTACAAGCTACAAATTCAAGATTCATTTAATAGGTTTAGCAATATTATGAAAGATTTATTATTTCCTTATTTTATATATTCGCAAAAATTATTGAACAGATGCTGTGATTTGAATACCTGACTCAAAAATAAGTATTGAAAGCATCATCTTTTGTGATAAAACTCTGTAAAGAGCAAAAAAAACTTCAAAACTGAGCTGGGCGATCAAAAGATTGGATGAAACTACATCAATTTTCCACCGGTTTTGGCAACCTGGCAATATTGATACATGGACAATCTTATTATGTTCACAAATGATATATATGATAATATACAATAAAGTCGGAAAACCGATAACATAAAATGATATGACTTTCACCTAAATCAGTATACTTTAGTCTATTAACTCTATCACAGTCAGTAGTCACAAATAAGTGTATGGCAAAATGGATTGCTCTTTTTCTATCCTGCTCCATATTTCAAGAGTTTAGGATGTGCTTAGCTCTTTTAGGACCAAGTCGGACAGGGCTAGATCTTATTGTGCCGTTCGGTTTAAAAGAATCAGTGACAGGATAACTTGTGGGATTTAGATTTTGAGCCACATTCGGGCAACACCTACTTCTAGCAATCTCCACTTGTGGATCAAGTACCACTGTTCTTTTGTTATCTTTCACTTCAATATTGGATAACTTGATAGGTTTTCGGGAATCATCAAGATTAGCTGCAGGTCTCTTCCTGACATTTGTGCATGGGTGATGGTCTTTGACAGCCATATTATCCAACTTTACTCTGTCAGCGACCTTATTTATGTTTCTACAGCCATTATTCATGGTAGAGGATGTAGCTGAAACTTGTTGAGGTTGAACTGATGCTGGATAAAGAGGGGTCGTCTTCATAGGAACCCCAGAAGTTAAAGGATTAGAAGCGTAGAGAAATTCTGCTGATTGATTAAAAGATGGTGTAGCAAAATTATTTCCCCATCGATTTTGAGGAAAACTTTGATTACTAACGCCAGAAAACTGTGGAGAATAGGTGCCGTTTAGGATGTCATCTGTTGAGCTTGACAACCAAGATGGTAAACTTCTATAAGGCCCCTGACTCCAATTTGTTTTGGCCTGTTCATTGACTGCAGGCTGCAAGAACGGAAATCCGAAGGCTGATTTGGTAACATGAGGAATTTTGTTCCTGCCACTAAGCTCGCCATTTCTTGAACATGTCGGCTGATTAAAATTGCAAGGAGTGAGTAATACCGGTGGCCGAGAGCTCGGTCCTGATGGTTTAGAACCGGCTATAAACTGCTCTGAAGAGTCACTGGGCGTCCCATTAAATACCACATATGAGGTTGATTCTCGAGCATTATGATTGATATAAGAACTGGCATTTCTGCCGACCTCGAAGCTTCCATTTTGAGATACATGATTACTTTGCATATCAAAGAACTGTTGAGGAAATCCCGGAGTGCTTTGTGATCCACAAGTACTTTGGGTTTTCTCAGACTGCAATGCACTATTAGTTGATATTTGTAAAGAGGAACCAGATACCCAATCCTGCTTGGAGCATCTTCCTAGAAAAGAATTTTCTAAAGCGGTATAGTCAGCATAATGCCTTCTTCTGGATTCCTCATCAGTCCAAACATCTCCCGGTATTTTTTGTGTCTCTTGGTTGCTTCTAGCAATTGGAACATCTTTACCCATCAACCTCACTGTTGGTTGGCTGGAACTTAGTGAGATATGATCTGAACCTTCTTTAAGAGAAACCATCCCATTTCTTTTGTGGTTCTGCACTCTTTCACATTGATTCTGTTCAACACACAAGTTATGTTTACGGAACTCTGAATGTAGTGGCTGCACATGATGATTGGAAAACATTTCAGAATCAGGTGGATGGATATCTTCTCTTTGACTGTGTAACTCGGTCACAGCTGATCTAGGTGGATAATGAGGTAATGAACTAAGACCATCTTTTTGTAATGTCTTCTGAACAACATGCATCTCATTCATGCTTAAATTTTCCTGGCTACTTCGACAGAGAACATCATTACTAGGCAAGCCATTTAAAGAACCTCCCAATGGACTAGATGTCTCCAGGTGGTCCGTCACTACATTTCCATTCGAACTGAAATTGATCAGCTCACCCTGAGAATTGAGTGGTAAACCGAAAAAGTTGGGATCCATACAGCTATTTCTTATGCATCCTTGTCCCCAACTTGTAAAAGGGTATGACTTCTCAGTCATATCTGCAGGAAACACATTATCTCCATAGTAAGACGATGAAGGCGATGGAGATTCTGGCCTTTCATTAACTTTGTTATATGGAGCTGAATAAGACGATGAAGGCTCCAGGAATGTGTCTGTACTTGCATTTTTGTTCACAGCATCAACCTGAAATGTACGATCCTCCGAATAGTCAATGAACTTTCCACCAAAACTGAAACCTCCAGATTCACGCACTTCTGTATTATTACCACACATTTGCCCTTGTTGAATTGCTGGTAGAGGTTTAGAAATACCAGCATTTGGAGAAAAATTAACTGTAGTTGTGTTGCCTCCATCAAAAAGCTGTGAATCATTATTGTCATAAACTGCCATCTTGGTTAATAATTCAGACTTGTGTTCTAACTGATTAGATTTCTCTTGATCAATACATGGCCTCAAGAAATTTGGTCTCGTGGCTTGTTCCAGAGTACTAGAAAACTGTTTGCTTTCAGTTATTGGGCAAAACTCCTCTCTTTTGTCTTTGTGGCCATAATTTCTGTTTGCCTCAAAACTTGAACTTTCTTCATCAGTTCCAGAGAACCGGTCCTTTACAAATGAAGTAGCCAGTGCATCTGAAGATGTGTTAAACATAGTTTCGTCAAATGAAGTTCTCTTTTTCGGACCAACTATTTCATCTTTATAAGAGAATTTGACACGTATGTCAGAGGTTAGCACTTCATCATTCACATGGCTTTCTTCAGCACCATCTCGAACTTTACATCCATCTGATATCTTGCCGGAAAAATGTTTCAAGTGGTTCTTAAAAGTGCCCTCAACAGGAGAATTTGGTTTTTGCCGCTTTCCAACGGAGTCACAGTTTATAAATCGATGCTTCTTTTCAATTGATAAGCCATTTAAACCCAACTTCTTTTTATGGACAGAAGGTTCAATGTCTTGCAGAGCAACCATTTCATTACAAATTGTACCTCTTAGTTTTCTGCAACTATTTACTGCAGTTTGCACCTCGCGCTTGTAAGCACTTTCCTGAAATGAACAAGATTAACTAAATTATGGATTTTCTATTATCACGTAATTCCAATAAGTTGAATAAACTTTATGCTATACAAAATACTCATGTTTAATTTAAATAGAAAGGCATTCCACTGTATTATTTCAAAATTGAAACGACTAATCTGTGTTTCAATGAATTTTCATTGGGTTTTCCAACGTCCCATACGTTTTCACGGTGGGTTTCTTGAAGCTACCAATTGGAGAGTTTATAAAACGTGCAGCAATACCATGGTTCTTGAACTCACCAAACACATGCTGAGTAAAGAACTAACTTACGTGCTTCTAGGTAGGGGTGTTCGCGGGCCGGTTTGGTTCGATTTTGAGAGAATCCGATACCCAAACTGATTAAAATCATATGGACTGATTTGGATTAGATTTGCAAATTTTTGTGATAAAGCCCGAACCGAACCGCAAAACAACGGGCTGGTTTGAGTTGGATTGATTGAGTAGATAAAAAATACAAAAATATTTGAAAAAATAACTTATTTACGGAAATTAATTTTTCATAATAATAAAAAATAGTATTAAAAGTGTTTAATCGTAAATATTAGACTAGCAATTTTTCCCTAATTGATTCTAAAATATTTAACATGAAAAATAGATAACATCAAAGCTTTTGAATCTATAATTAGTCACTTGAATTAGTATGATAATGAATGTGTTTCATAAACGCTCAGTTATCATAATACACTAACAATTTTCTAATAACAAATTAAAATAGAATAACTTGTCCACATACGATATTTCACTTTTTTCTTCTTGAATTTGAATGATTGGTAATAATTTTCATGATATTTAATAATGATTGATTCACATTGGACTTGCGGATAGAAAACTGGATAGAAAACTGAAAATCTGATGCCCGAACCAATTGTCATTGGATTTCATTGGTTTGGTTCGATTTTTGCCCGAACTGAAAAAATATCCAATCAAAACACTATAGTTTGGTTTGGATTTAGCCGAACCAATGAACATCCATACTTCTAGGCTTCAAAAACAAAACTCTCAAACTTGGTCATTTTAGTTTTTATATTTAGAAGAAGGGAACATAAAAATTATATTAAATGCATGGATCATATACTTGCATCAGAAAAAACACACTTAAAGCTAATAATTTTTTCTTTTTTTTTTAAAACAAAATACTTTATTGATTCAAAAAATCGTTAAGTACAAACGATCCAAAATCTGGATTCAAACTAACACCGACAAAATTCCTAAGGTTATATGAACTTAAATATTCTCTTATAAAAAATTGTTTAAAATTCTACACGTGAACGGAAATAAAAGCTTATACAATTTCATCAAAATATCATTTTGAAAAAATAAAAAATAAATTTGTAAATGAGTGCTTGTGTGCACATCATCCCTAATTATAAATATCAAACTACATGGGCATAATTATATATGGTAATGGAATGGCATATAGCAGCAAACAGACTGCGTGAGAGCTTCAATTTAAAATTTTATTTATGGCTCATAATAAAATCAATTAAAACTTTTACTTATTAATTGAAACTGCTTATCCCTAAATTTGATTTTACTACATAGAGTAAAATAATCCTAAGCAATTAGGTACAATTATTATTTTTAATAGTTAAATCGTAATTCAAAGCCTGTGCTTAAAACAATTATGACTAAACCACTGTAGTAAATATACTAAAGAAATTGTAAGTGATACACTTCGACATTATAACGGATTTTCTACTTGGGTACCTAGCTACAGTACTATGTTAATATAACAAAAAAAATGCAACAACTACCGTATAGATATTTTTCAAATGCCATGATTAGTTGACACTAGCACACTTATACATTTCAATAACTCTCTTTAAATAATGAATTAAATCAATCTGAGTTAAATTGAAAAATATTATCAAGTAGATTAAGTTTATAAAAATTTTATAGAATTTGAAAAATCATTTAATATTCTATCATATCAATTTATTTTAACATATAAATAAATTATTTAAAATATATATAAATATCAACTACAAGAATATATACAACAATAACAACTAAAACTTATTCCATTAAATAGGGTCCATACAGAAATATTTAGCAACGGATATTTAAATTATTTGAAATTTTATATACATGATAATATTAGATAACTGAACGTCTGGATTGATTTAATTTAATTTCTATAAAGAGATAAAGATGTAAATATACTAAGTTTGTGTCAACAGATTTTACTCTATAATATTTATCCATAATAATTGCTTTAAATAAATCTGATTGAAAAATTCATAAGCTAATCTTTCAAAAATTACACTTCTTTAAACATGGAAAATAGTAATTTTTACAAAAATATATATTTTCACTAAGTTGTTTAAATCATTGTATATTATACCCTATTAATTTTTGTGAATAATTCGAAGAGCTCATTTGTTAAATTTTTGTGAAAAAATCATTTTTGAAAAAAAAAATAATAAATAATCTTAGGGGATGTTTGTTTCGTGAGTACAAATGTCATTCCCAGAAATGTGACATTGAAATTCACATTTTCCCGAGTTTGTTTCAAGTTTTAATAAAATATTTCCGAGTACTTTTTATTCCTAAGAATATAATTTGTTTATGAACATCTTAATTTCTATTCTCATGTCAAATAATGAAAATCTTACATTCTCATTAGAATATAAAATAATCAATCATAACTTTCCACTCTCATATTATTTTTATTTTTATTTTTTATTTTTTATTTTTTAAATTTAATTTAAATAAAATCTAAAAATATACCTAGAAACTTTATTCATTTGCCAAAGACATTGATAGGAATAAAATTCCTAGAAATAATATCCCCTGGATTATAATTTTAGTCCGTCAAACAAACACACCTTAGAAGTTTTCATTCATTTGTTACAAATTCTTTAAAAAATGAGACATCTAAAAATTGCTTTAAATGATAACTTATTAATTGTACTTTCTCTTTATAACTATTTTTTTATAAAAAAAAATATTTCCATTTTGATAAACAAAATCTTTTTTTTCATAATCTATAACGGCCAAAATGAGCAAAAGTGATACTTGTTTTTGGATTAAAAAATTAAAGAAGTACTTCTTATATAAAAGGATGTTAAACTACATATAAAGCATTTTTTTATATGGAATAAAGCGTCTATTTTAAATCAAATGAAAAAAGTAATGGCACATTATAGCAAGAGAAAAGAAGAAGAATGGCAAATACATGAATAAGGATAATGCTTGAAACAATTTTTCTTGATTTGTTTTGACACTTCTGTGCATGTAAATTGTAATGCGCACTTCTGAAATTGACAAATACTAATAACCTCTTGTTTTGTTTTGGTAAAGGAAACCTCTATTAAAATTCTATTTCATGTTTCATATATGATATAACCCCATTCATAATGTTGTGGTTCAGTGAAAATCCAGTTTTATAGAAGATGATAGGCAAGGGGAAAACTATTTTATTATTATTGGCATAAATAAATATTATGATTATAGAATCAGAGTCCGAGGGCCTTGTCCGACAATGAAGTATTCCCTAGGTTAGTATCTATAGGAAATAATTAGCAGCAAGATTACATATCTGCAACATCATTGTGATCTTTCAAGGCTAGCCCCTTTGAAGGCCATGTGTGTATGAATATATTTAACAACTTTCACTTCCGAATTTCATCCAGCATAACCATGAACTGAAACTATTTTAAGCCTTCTCTTTCAATGACTCTATATACGTGTCTTAAAATTTTCAGCTTTTTTGTATTGACACTTAATCTTTAATTCTTGACTAATTCATCCGGTAATTCTCTCCACAGACAAAAACTCTCAGATTATGATCAGATATATATATCACACACAGAGGGTCCAAAACCATCCTATACTACTATAACTTACCAGTTACTAACTTACCATCCCCTACAACTTTACTCATGTGCCACGATGATTGAAGCATATAAAACACGTCAGAAGATACTCCCATGCGATAATGATCTATATCAACCCAAGTCAGAATATTTCTTTTTTATAGGCATATACAAACATTCAACAATCCAAATCTCTATATACACTTCTGACAGACACAGACTCAGACCAATAAATGATCTATCAAATTCTGGACCTATCTACCCAAAATATATGCAGCTGTTCATAAACCTCATACTCATAGACTACGTTTACAAACTAGGCAAATGAGACGAGAAAATGTCAATCCACCCATGGCCCATATGATAACTCCCCTAAATTATTATAGTAAAGGGGTGAGAAGAAACCCCTAATGATTAGACTCATCTCTTCTACTTCGTAATCCAAGACTAGTGGCCCCTTGTAGCAGCTAGGTTACTCATACTAATACTAATTACACACACGCACACACACCCTACAGCTAGAACAACATCTCTTTCACTGCCTTGTGAATTTCCTTCCACACACATGAACGCTATTGTATTGTAGTCTTAACTTTTAACTTCCTTTACCCAAAACTTTTACTTACTGCTTATTTCGCTCAATTCGTTAGTACTACTAAACAAAAACCACTCACTTCTTCCACAAATATAGATAAGCAGTTGTCTCTCTAATCAGCTTTTGCAGAAGTGATTTTATGCAGAAAGCAAACGTAGAATTAGGAAAGCTATCATAAGGAACTACATCAACACAAACACTACATGTATGTACAGTGTCCAGTGATATTTTATGTAAAAATTCCATGTATTTTATTCTCAGTAACCATGAATTAGCTTCAGATAATGGAATCGTAAAGCATATAACGAAAAGATTAGCTTAAATTTAACCACGTACCTTCTTCCCAGTGAGCTCACTGTTGAAGATGTTCTTCTTTTTCTTCTTTTTCATGTTCACAACCGTCTTCTTCTCATTGTTCAGCAACTTCTTCTTCATCTTCGTCATCTTCGTCATCTTCTTGTTAGACTTCTTCGTCTTTTTCTTTTTGCCGTTTTTATTCTTACTCTTCTTAGTCTTGTTGACAGATACAAGAGTATCAGCAGCATCAGAAGCACTAAATTCATCACCGGAATAATTGGAGAATTTGTCTTCATCTTCATCTTCATCATCCTCAACTACAATAGAAGGATTATTCGCCTTGCTTTTACTGATTTCGATCGGTGGCGCCGTGTTTAGAATCTCAGCAATCGAACGCTTCTTCGGCGCTTTAGGTTTGGACTTGAAACTATTGAAACTATTGAAACCGGTCTTAACCGTCTGACGCCGTTCACCTCTAACCGCCTGCGCGAGACAATTATCGATGTGAGCGTTCACCGCCGTCACAGTCGCCGCGTTGAAATCTCGACAAACCGGACAAATCATCTCTAATTTCTCCTCCTCGACAGAGGATTTCACCGATTCATCACCTCCAGGTTTAGATCTCAACGCCTCGAGCCGTTGAGAGAGCCATCTGAACTTCCTAACAGTAATAGAAACCTCATCCTCTTCGATATCTTCAATATCTTCAATATCCTCACGGCACGGTAACAATTTCGTCACGCTCTCGTTTTGCAGCGGTCGCTCTTCCTCCTTATGCTGCTGATCCTGATTCTGACTTTTATCCTTATCCTTATCCTCCACTTTGAAAATCTCTGCTATAGAACGCTTCTTCGGCGACTTCGACTTCAATTTCGACTCCGATTTACATGCTTTCGAATTCATCTTCCTCATGTGACGACGCTCCACTCTAACAGACTCGGCAAGACAACCATCGATATGAGCGTTCACTGCCGTGAGAGTAGCGGCGTTGAATTCACGACAAACCGGACAAATCATCTCGAATTTCTCATCATCAGCATGAGCAACAACGGCGGGAAGAGGAGGAGAAGAAGGAGGAAAAGCAAATTCATCTGATTTGGATGATTCTTCGCTAGTGTAACCGTTTTTATCGGTTCTGGAAGGTTCTGGAAGTGAAGGTTGATTGTAGTGATTTAGAGAGGTGTTGTTTTGATTGGATCTAGGGCAGGGAGAGAGTGGAGGAAGCCATGAGTGAAGTTCGTGGCGCGTGAGTTGACGGTTAGAAGTTGAAGTGAATGGCCAACATTTGAAAACGTCGAGGGACCTCATCTTAGAAGTGTACTCTCTGGAAGAAAAATCGAATCACAATGAGTTTCATAAAGTTAAAGATCGAAGATGAAACGAAATAAATAAATAGAAAAATAATTAAAATGATATTTTAATATACCTTATTGAGAATCGATCAAACCTAGTTCCCATGATGAGTAGTAGTGATGAGAAAGAAGTAGTACTGTAATTAAGAAGAAAGATGGAGAAGCGGAGAGAGAAACATGAGAGAGAAAGAGAGAGGGTAATGTTATTGAGCTGGGTGGTGAGAAGAAAATAAGGGGAGAGAAAGAGAGAGTGTGTGTTTGTGGGTGTAGCTGTCTGCTTGCTTTTCCCTAATTTATGACTGAAAGCGACATATGAGAGAGAGAAGAGGGCTGTAGAGTCACGACAGAACACAATAAGAACGGAAAGAACTGGCGAAAGTGAAACAATACTATATATTGTCTTTTGATTATTAAAAGTTTAATAGATGGGGTGTTTTTTCATATGTATAAAATACTGCTATAATACAATTTGATTTTTTCCCATTATGTATAAAATTGAGGATATTTTCATGAAGAACGTTCTCCTATAGGGTTTTGTTGGTATGAAATCACAAACGCAAAATAATTTAATGATATAATCTCTTCTAATACAAATGTAACGATAATCAACAAAATATATAAAACAATACAACTCAATTTTAGTGAAGAAAAATCTTCTGTTAACTAGGAGTAAAAAATCACGAGAACTATAAACTACTTAAAATCTTCATTATAATCAATAATGGATACAATCAAGGTTCTCTCTAACACTAGTTAGAGACATACATAAACATCATCAAGATTTGGAATCAATCTTGAAATATAACAAGAGTCAAGAGAGACAAAACAACTCAAAAACATCAAGAAATTCAAACCTCAAATATGGACTCGACTGACCGACTTAGAAAGCTTTGAATCCAATGAAAATTATTCAGAATGTGCTCCTATGAGTCATGAACGTTGTGTTAAAATTTCAGGATGACCCGACCGTTGGATTTTGAGCATGCTCCAATTTTCTGGGACTGATTTGTACAAAATTGGGGTTGCGGGAATAGGATTTTCTCTTTACCTTTTCTTGTTGTGTTTCTCACACAATGAATGAATAATTTAATTCTCTTTGTTGGGTAATAACAAAGGCATAGACACACATGGGTCACTAACCCACATCCATTTAGGCCTCTCCAAATAGGAGAGATAGCCCAACAAACTCACCCGACCGATTAGTTGGAGGACAACACCAATCAGGCTACTGTGCGACAAAACTCAAACTTCCCTCTAGGTAACACCTTCGCCAACATATCTAAACCATTGTCATCGGTGTGAATCTTCCCAAGCTCCATCAACTTAGAATCTAATGCATCATGAATTCAATGATAACAAACATTAATATGCTTCAATCTCGAGTGAAAGGAGGAATTCTTTGATAAGTGAATGGAACTTTGATTATCACAAAACAAAATATACTTTTCTTATTTCACACCAAGTTCCAATGCAGATTTCATTAACCATAATAACTCTTTTGACGCTTCCACGACAGCTATAAACTCGGCTTCAGTAGTAAAAAGTGCAACACACTTTTGCAACTTTGATTTCCAAGCCACCACCCCCCCCCCCCCCTCGGCAAAAGTCACCATATATCCCAAAGTGGATTTTCGATCATCTAAACTTTTGGCCAAATCTGAATCTGTATATCCAACCAACTGTTTACAGTGATTTCTGGTAAACAACCGCTAGTCCTCCAAACTATCGAATAATCTTACTGACTGTTATTCAATCTCTCTGGTAACTCGCAGGATCGACTAGATTGATCCTAGGATGTGTTGGTCATTAGGGTAACTCTCATGATAGAACTGGTATTCATGGTTGGTATTTAGAATGTTGTGTAGGTGTTTAACTTACTTCGATTTCTCTATTAAAGATCTAAAGGCGTGATCAAGTAAATGTGCGCGAAACTAAATTGCATGAATAAAGTTAAATTGTAAAGACATGTAAAAACTGCATAAAAGACAAGTAAACGACTTCGAAGCATAAAAACATGTAATGTAAAAGATTCTTTGGAATGTAAAAGATTCGAAATATGAAGAAAGCGTTTAAATGCAAGAAAACAGTAAAATGACTTTAAGTGAAAAAGGTGTTCGAATGATAAAAGCTTGAAGATAAAGGCATAAAATGTACAACAGTTTCTAAAATGTAAAGTATTTGAAATGGAGAGAAAGCATTTAAATGTAAAGCATCAGTAGAAAGACTTCGAATGAAAACATTTTAAATGCAAAAGCTTTTGAATGGTATTGACGTGAAGATAAAGGAAAATACTGGAAATGATAAAGAGTTTTCATTAAATCATAAACATTTGGTGTTATCATACGTACATTGCTCGTGCATTCGTTTCCCTAACCATGTTGTATTTTGAATGTTTACTGAGTTTTTTGTACAATAGATATGACACACAAAATCCTAATGCTAAGACTTCTATTTATACTACTTCGACCATAACGGTCTTGCTATAAGATTCTGCCACGTTCAGAACATGCAGAGCAATGCCTCTCTCTTGCTTCCACGCGTCTTCGAATGCTCCAGCGCATATATTTCAAATTTCGAACATCCCGCTTGCATTTGAATTTCAAATGTTTTGGCACTTCTTCGCTTCGAATGCATTTCTTGGACACAGCATTGTTAACATTTCGAGACTTTTTTGAATATATTCTCATAACTGACACTCGAAGCTCCAAGTTTTGATATGCCCATTCGAAGCACTGCTTCTACCATTTCGAAATATGACATCTTGCTTTATTCCAATCGAAACGTCCAATTTGCTTCACTTCTCATAATATCATCAAAATATTCAGCCAACAAAATGCCCCTTTAAAATATGTATTTCGATTCCTTTGAGAAATACTTATTTTAAACATACACACAAGATTTTGATGCGACCTTCGAATCATCGTAACATTTATTGCATATGACTCCAGTCACGTCAATCACAACGCTTTTCAGATTCCTTAACCGCCTTGAACCATTTCACAGCATAGTGCAGTTACAAAATAATGATTATCTTTAATCACGCCTATTACCAATGTTAACTTTACGCCACCTCCTTACCAAACCAACTCACGGCTACCACGTATCACAATCTTACTCAGTGGATGCTTAAACTTCCACATTATAAAAACCCATCAACTTAGTCTTTTCTTTTCTTCTCACATTCTGAATCTTTTCTTCCTCTTTTCTCACCGAAACCCTAAACTTCCAACATTCTTACAACAATGTCTTCTTCAACTTCATCTCAACTAAAAAAGGCTTCCAAAAAGAAAGGAAAGACCACAGGAACCACAATGGAAAGCAAGGTTGGCACCTACCAAGGTCAATCTGTTCTTGTTCCCCAGATGATCTCAAAAGAGAAATAAATGCTTTATGCATCCCAGGTACTAATTCCTACTAACGCCGCTGGTAAGAGGTTAGCTTTAATGGGCCCTCTTACAGTCTTTAAAATTTTAAAAGACACCAGAAAATTTTTCACTGTTTGTTATAATTTCAAACCTCTGTTTAATAAAATGGATGCCCCTAAGACAATAGAGTCTTCTGATTCAAACCCCGTGGAAAATCCAATCGTTCCCCCTAAGGACCCTTTTGTACTAGATTATGTAAAGAGTAACTTCAAACCATTTCAATCTTGCCCCACCTCCGACACAGCTTATCACAACTGGTTTAATAAAGTAGAGGCTAAGAAATCCCAGCAATGGGAAGAATTAGGCATCTATAACTTGATTAAACTGTCGAAACCAGGATTCACTTATAGCCACCCATTGTTATTCGCGTCCCTATATTTCTGGGATAGTACTTACAATACTTTCCATCTCCCTGGTGGAATGATTACTCCCACCTTTTTTGACATAGCAGCCATTACCGGGTTATCACCAATAGGAGAAACATATATTCCTGACAACGAAGAGCATTCGAGTATTATTGACTTCGAAGTCAAACTAGCTAGCTTTTCGAAGTTTATCAGCCACTATCACACTGAAGGAGACAGTGTGTCGGATGTAGAACACATTGCTTTCCTTACTTTATGGTTGTCCAGGTATGTCTTTTGCAGCAGATCCCTACAGGTAGCCAGTAGGTTTATTCCTCTAGCTAGAGATTTGCATGAGAATCGGAGGATGTGTTTAAGCGAACTGCTATTAGTTGATCTTTATGAAAGTCTAAGGTCAACTGTTTCGAGTCTGAAATCTCACACCTCCAAGAACATCCTGCTAGCGGGCCCTTTCTGGTTACTCCAGTTATGGCTAAATGCCATGTTCGAACCTTCACTATCAACTGCCAATACTATTGCTGAACAAGACCCTGAAATAGTGGATAGAATCATCGAAGGCACTAGGCTGCGAAGACTAACCCCAAACGATGATAAGGACGACTTCAAAGTTCTATTCTCAAAATATATCATGATATTCTCTAAGAGGCATAAGTTCGAAGAGACCATGGCGCCTTTTGCTTCAAGGACTCATGGACCTTCATGGTTCACCATGGCTCTCTCAGAAGCTGTCAAAAGCAAAGAAATTCAAGATGTATGGAGAGCCTTTTTGCTACCCAGACTAATCTCTTCAAGAATTACTCCTGCTAAGAATCAAATTTTCCTTTTCGCTTATCAACCCAACTTCGTTTCGAGACAATTTGGCTTGTGCCAACTAATTCCTGAACCCCTATTCCAAACGGAAAATGCCATCACTTCTGGGCGAACCTTCAAGGCAAGAGAAGCCAAACTACAGCAGGAACAATACCAAGGCTTCGCCCATTTTGAACTAATAACTTTCGAACCTACACACCTTACAGCAAAGGGGTTTCTGGAATGGTGGACAAAGTTCTATCAGACTTATATGTTCGATACTCTTACTATTCAGCAAAAACTAACTGATGCATTCGATGTGCAGGTACCATCCAAGAAAGGTATGTTCACTCATTCCAAAGAGATTAAGGCTTTTCAAAATTATTTCGAAACTACTTATGATCCCACACACTTGGAATCCACTGTGCATCAAGCGGCTGAGACCTTGAAGGAAAAATTCAAAGCAAAAGTTTCTAAGTTAAAACTTCCTTCAGGGTTGTCACCTGAGGATAGGTATAGGTTGGCAT